CCAACCAAATCCAAACAACAATCCTCCATTCAGTTTTATTTTTAATRTAAAAGTTTTGTTACTCCACCAGTGTGACTTTGCAAGCTTCTCCCAGTCTTCCAGTGGCTTCCTGTCAGCCAGCATGGAGAAATTCTCCAGCTGGAATATAGGAAACAATGCTGCAAGCAACAAATGAAGTTAATTGAGAATATGATGTTCCTTCCAGGTTTTCCTCACATTTTTTGGTAAATTCAATATGTTAAGTGGTAAGGGCAGTGTGAGCAGGGGCTGAGGAGGGGACAAGCAGCTGCTGTGAAGTGATGCCTGAGCTGCCTTGTGCTGTGGCTTCTCCACCTGCAAMGAGGACAGCCCTGCTCAGGCCTGGRTGGGGCAGGAGGGATATCCAAAATCAGTGCAGGCTGTAACACAACCCTTTAGCTCGATTTCCTAATAATCCATATGCACAACTGCGGTCCCTGTGCCCTGTCCTTAGCTGCATTTTATGCCATTTGGGAGGCASTACAGCTGAAGTAAGTGAAGTGCAGGTTTGTGTGTGTGTTCTCACAGGCTTCTCCCTACTTGTATGTTCTTCRTACAGCTTCCTGCAAAGCCATAAGTCAGACATTCCTGTAGGTAATTATATTGCTGRGAAATGCTCTGCACAATCTCTCTCCTTGCCTTTTTTAAAAATCCTTTTGGCAGTCTAGGCTTTATCTGATGATCTGTGGTGTTTTATGACAATAATAGCAAAAAGAAAAAATAGAAGTTCTTCTAGTAGGAAAAACATCTGAAGTTTGCGGATGTTTCACCCTTATGTCCCTTTTTCTTTGATTTCAGGCATCTTTCACAGGATGAACAAGCAAAGCAAAATTGTTACCTGGCTGGAGGATAGAAATTCCTATTTACCTGGTTTAGCTTCGAGTCAGCAGATCTGTTTTCAAATGGCAGTGCATTGGATTTATTGCTCAGAATAAGAAAAAAAAAGTRACATCCCACTCTACGGTTGGCAAATTTGCAGCGAGGACCCCATTGAAAGCTGGTGGTTTACATCTCATATAACTTGAAATAAAGGAGTCACTCACACATTCATAATCAATACAATTACTTCTACTTTACATGAATTAAGTAATTTGTATGGCATTACTGTTTGGGGCATTTGTATCCCTATTCAGAGCACTTCTGTATTTCAGTCCCACTGATGGTAAAGGCAGGTGCATGCCAGTTACCCACAAAACCAAGGCAAAGCTCTATGGGGAAACTCTTTTATGTCCATCTAGATTTGAATTTGTAGTCCCTTTCCAATTACTGCACTAATTGTTTAAGAGATTGCTAGACTAAAAAAGTTTTTAATCACTAATCTGTTTTTSAAAGGAACTTATGGGCTCAAAACCTGAACTACATACTTCTTAAATTAATTTTCTTCGTGAATACTTCTTTCTCAATACAGATTTGTGAGTCAGAACACCCTACTGTGCTTGTTTCTTTGTCTTTTCTTCAAACACCTGGCCTATTATTCTCCTCTTTTTTCCCCAGCAAAATCGCTCTTTCTTTGTAGGCAAGGTTCTGATGATATTATGTCACTGGAAATGCRGAAATTTATCCAATATCCTATGGTACCAGAACTGAACTTGGAGCAGAGAACAGACTGAACAAATTGGACAATTTAGCCAAATGGGAATCCTCCAATAGAAGTATTTATCAGTGTGTTCTGAAGACACACTAATATGCTGCAGGGTCTTCCAGCAAAACACCTCCAAAAATTGTGACATGGAGGGTTTTTTCCTCAGTGGGCTGGTGGTGGTACTAGGTGGATGGGGTGGGATTTGTATTTGGATTTCTCTGTGACTTTGGAAATCCCCCCATATATTTTTGCTTTAAGGAAAACCAGATAAACGCAATAAAACAACCAGGGCTCCAGGCCTGCTTCAGTTGAAATCTGTGCCAGGAAACAATCTTGATGTCACCCAGAGAGATTTAGGCTGCAACCCTTCTTTATTCAGAAGAGAGGCATAAGAACAAAGCCTGTAGTCTTAATCCGGGTCAGTGCAGACTTTGCCTAAATTAAGACTAAAGAATTTAGTGCACAAGGCAAGATAAAATGTCWGGAAATAGTTGCAATGTTCAGTGTGAGACATTCTCTTAAAAATGACTGACTTGTTTAGGATATAGGAAGCTGCAGACCCCATTGCCCCAAGAAAAACTAGAAAAGCAAATGTCCCTGCTTGATTAATGGCCAAGGTGTTGACCCTATGTGCAGCTATGGAATGAGGCTGAAGAATTTTCAGTTAATTGCTCCTCATCATTTTTTAAAATGTGATTTTAATACTATATCCATAACAGCTGGTAATTAAGCCTCTTTATTTGAAGTTTAAACAGACTGAGTAAGTAAACCTTCTTCCCTTGGTGTGATATTTCATTGTTAGATACTAATAATTAACGTGTAAAGCTTTCTGAGTTTTGGTTACAGATGCTYTCTGGTTCCTAAGCTGATTTCAAATGTTGCCTTGCATATTTATTTTCATAATATCATTAGCTCTCACAGCTGGATTTCAATTCACATGAAAGAATGAAAATTTCTTGGAAGAACTCATTAAAGCAGAAAAAATAAAATCAGCTTAAAGAATAACTCTCTTCATTTCAAAGTAARCCCAGATGAAACATCAGTAAGCTGTGTTCTCTACCTGTACCTCTACCTTCTACCTTGGGAACTGCTGATGATTGCAGACACTGTCTTCTACCTAGATAGCACAGGAATGACAGCTCCTGCTTAATCAGGATCAAAATGGGAATGCACTTACCTTTGTTCTTCTGCCATGTGTCAAATTGGGCAYTGTTGCTTGAAGCTGCAAAGCCACCCAAAAATATACAGCAAAGGGGACAGTGCTGGCCTCAGTGTGACATCAGGAGAAGCAGAGGACACAGCTGACAGGACAGTGCTTGGCTGTGGTCTCAGTAGGAGAGGAGGATGTCTGGGGAGAAGGGTGCCCTCTTGTAAGCACAATTAGGACAGAGCAACACCCAAACTGGGTGGGTTTAGGAGCCAACCCTGCAGTTCCCAGAGTGGTGCTGAAGTGGCTGYGTGTGCTGGGTGCAGGTAGCAGCTCTCAGCTCTGGCAGGAGTTGTCATAAGTGWCATTATTTGCCTCTGTGTGTTTAATTGCTGTTCCTGAAATTATTTCTAACCATAACTATTGAAAAAATTTTGTTGATAGAAAAACTTTATCATCTCTGATGTAACTGCTGAAATTTAGCTTGTGAATTTGATGCCCCCGTACCTGAGTGAGATCTCTGTGGCCCTGTGGTCAGTAATGAAGGTTTTGGTGATTACACAGGATCTACTGTTTCGTGCAATGTATTACACCAGCCTTCAGATCTTCTTTTCACATGCTGCTTCTGGAGAACTTGTATAGGATCATAATTTGGCAAAAATACCTGGGTTTGATTATTATTGCAGAGTTCTTTWCTTGGTGGCTCATGGCAAATGCAAAACAGTTTCTGCTACTTTAAATGAAACACTGAGTCTCCTTTCCTGCAGAGCCTCTTTGCATTGCAAGAGACACTGGTGGCAAGGAATGATGCCACAGAAGCTTGTACAGGAGTTGTGTAATGACAGTTTTCAAGCCATTAACCTACTTAAAAGGTTAATTTGGAACAAACTCGGTGCTTGAGTTGGATCCCGTGTTGTGCTGCCAGTTGGCAGCCTGGGCCGTGAGACTGGTGGAAGCAAAGAGCTGTTGTGGAAGAAATACTCAAACTTTATGTGAGAGGTCCTTCCCCAGTCTCCTGCTGCTTGACACAGTTCAGCCCTGCTGTAACTTGGGTAGGGAGCTGGCTTTTCCCAAAAGTTTAAATACCACCTTCTCCTGCCTAAGCTACCAATGAGGTCTCTGAACCCAGAAATACTTCCACTCTTGTGGAAAGTGATGAGTGCTTGTCTGATCCAGCACACTGCCTTCTCTGTCCTGGAGCTAAGTTCAAGCTTGGTGCAGTCTCCAGAAGCAGCAGTGATGGAGCTGSAGCTCTGCACCTCAAACTCCAGTTGAGAACACAACCGTGTAATCTTAAGGTTGGCCCAGAACTGCTTTGAGAAAGAAATTCCAAAATACACAAATTCTTTTCACTCTAAATGTGTTTGAGGACAGTTTTGAGGAACCAGGCAGCATCAGTGGAGGAGTTCCATGCTGTCCCATCAACCCAGAGGAACACAGTTTGCTTGGACCTGTGCTACAAGGGAAAGGTGCAGCCAACTGCTGGCCTTTCTTTTGTCACTGTGAAGTAAAAATTCTCTTGTATAACTCTASCATTTGCACAGTGTTGTGATTGTTTAATGAGTCCTCACAACAGCCCTGTGAGGTAGGCGAGAGAGCTGCAAAAGGAGGATACAATGACCTCTCCTCGCTTTACACTAAAGCACCAGGAGGATGCTCCATAYCCTCACTTTACACTAAAGCATCAGACCTGTGGAGAGTTGTTCTCAGTCCCATGTCCTGAATGGGGAAATTCAGCAAAGACTGTAAAATACTCTGTCTTGGAGTCCAGGRTTGTGATGGACTGTAGACTCTTGCTCAGTAAGGCCTCTGTTTTYACTCATTTCMACATTGATCCAAGGAAGAATTTACCACTCCGTATTGAACCTACTCAATGCATGAAATGTCTCAAAATATACAAGTAATCTGTTATTTTACTGGTCTGTTAAGATGTGCCAGAAATCTTGCTAAAAGTATTCAGCAACCTCATATTTACAGCTATAAACAACAGTTTGACATGTATATACATACACAGAGAACTACATAGAATTTACTGCTCACTGATAACCTACTTTCACAGGATACAGTCATGTACAGATGTTAAACTTTTAAAATTATTATCATACTGCCACCTGAACATAAAGCAAATACTTAAAAAAAATTTGAAACAAGGTACTCTTTAAACAAACCTAGTTCTAAATCAAAAACCCATACTGAAAATAGTTCCCATCTCATTCGTGCTAAGTCTGTCTAGAATGCAATATTTCACTGGCATTTGCACTTCAACATGAAGCATGGTCTCCAAGTTAATAACTGTGTACTGATTCTYATGTCTCAAGTACTGCATGTAAGAGTTCCTCCTGAGAAGTAAGTTAAGAATTGCTTAGAAACAGTGGTTATTCCCACAAAGAATTTGGAGCCTTTGGACTAGCTTCTGGTGAGTTTGGTGATTTCAAAGCTTCAGATTCATGTCAGCCCGATTTACAATAATGACATAGTTCCTGCTTCTGTTTCTGCAGTGCTAAAAATGATACAAGACAATTTACTACCCGATTTCATGTTGTAATGAAGGAAAACAATGTTTGGCAGGGTTATTTTYCTTTCAGTCTGTTACTGAAGATGCAGGAGCTACAGCTCTGTGTGTGTGTGTGTGTTTTCTTTTTTTAAATGTGTCTCTCTAACGAGAGCTACTTATTGGAGAAGGCATTCAYTTTCCCCTCCGTGGCTGTAGTCTGTGGGAGAGCTCCTAACAAAGTTCTTTGTTAGTGTTTGTAAGACTGGAGATGAGGTTTAATTGAGGGATTTGTGCTGAATGTTCTTTCGCTTTGAGCCTTAGTGCTGCAATGCTTGACGTTTTCCTTTCAACTGCTGCTGGATCAGTGAAGGCAGTGAGAACAGGGTCTGACGGGGGTCCAGGAGCTTTCATTAGTACTGAAGCTGTTGTCACGAGAGGATTTAAAGCATTGAKAAACCTGTATTTGAAAGAAGTCAATATTATCCAAATTAAGAATTGTTTTGGAGAACAACTTACTGAGTTGCAGTTTCCCCCCACCGCCAAAATATTAGAAAAAAAAAAGTTCCAAAATTTCCAATTTCTTCCAAATGTACATTTGTTTTAGCTTCATTTTGCAGTATAGTGTCTGCAAACAGAAAACCCCACCCTAAATAAAAAACCAAAACACTTTAAATAAAATGAATAAGAGATGATCAGACGTGGCATGCAGGCATCTAAASCAGCAACCATTCGCTTAACCCCTCATGCTAAATCCTTTCTAAACAAACCTTGGATACTGTAGAGCAGCCTGTTCTGTGAAAGCAATAAACCACCTCATAAAAAGGTTAATTTATATAGCTGTTTATGCAGACAATTTGTTCAGTTCAGTCGATTCCATTTGAAAAGCATTTCTTTATCTGTTAATGTACAACAGAGATACAGGCTCCAATTTCAGCAAGAGTATTATCTTCTATTTTTTATATATTTATAGATGTTTATATATTTGGATATAATATATAATGTATGTACATATTTTATATATAATATATTTATACTTGAGAGAGAGAGAAGGATGGACCTGCAGCCAAACAGGTCACAGCAGTCTGTGTGAAGACTAGRGTTCAGCAAGACCAAAATTGCAGTAAGCATGCACAATTTGTCTTCAAAAAGCAATTACACATTAAGTTTTTACTAGCATGACTTAAACACAAATCTTGCTGTTCCTAATCAAGTGGTCCATTTTGGTTAGTTAAGTTTATTGAGAACATGAAGTATTAAATGAATATAAATGCAGCATTTTTAACAGTTCTGAGATTTAGAAAAAAATAAAATTATTCTATACCTTCCAAAATGTGGATTTAAAATAGGATTTCTGAAGAGAGAAGTCCAGGTAAGACTGCTGAGGCCAAATGGCCCTAAGGTTGAAGGACTAAAAGCTGGAGACATGGATGGCACAGCCAATGTTGAAAGAGGCATTGACCTCCATGTGTGATCCAGGAGGGGAGAGTGACTCAGTGGAACATCCAAAAATAGACCAAGGGGGTGTGTTAGGGAGATTCCTGGAACAGYCCCCAGAATTTCATTTTTTTCACGTTTCCTCCACTTTGCCCTTCTGTTTTGGAACCAGACCTTYAATAAAAAAAAATTATAAAGGCATTAGCTGAACTTACTCTGCAGTTTGTCTTACCAGATACTACTGCACATATTGATACAGATGGCAGAATATTTACTGTTAAACCAAATCCCACTTCTTTAATACAAAAGATCCATTCATAAATGCCTTTGTGCGTTTATTACAAAATAAATAACTTACAAATATTGTAAATTTGACTACTCTCTGACTGAAGTCACATTTGTTTTAAAACCATTGTAATATATAAACCTATCACCTGTAAATGCAAGAGCAATTATTAAAAATCATCATCCTTCCTTTCATAAGCTATTTCTTGAAAGTTAAATTTCAACAAAGCCGTTCAAGAGGTGGCAATTATGTTACAATCAAAAAAAAAGGTTTTTCAATAGTTTTAAATAGCATCCAAAGTATCTAAAATCAGGCTTTGGGGGCCCCAGTGTGACTTACCTTCAGGTGCTTAAACGACACGAGGTGTGTTTGGGAGAAAAGCCCTCCACACACCGGGGCACAGACCCCAAACAAAGCTGCAGCACACCCCAGCCCTGCTGTCCCAAGCTCCTCTCTCTCAGTGACAGCTGSCCCTTTCAAAGCACTTGCTCTGGGGTTCTCAGGATCCAGAGGATGAAGTACTACCCTCGTCCTTTCACTGCTTGTAGTATCTTTATACCAAGCAGTTGTTGTTCCTCTGGAGGAGGGATTTATACCCCTCAGGTTACGTGTGTAACACAGAACAACTGTCTCACTCACAGGCAGTCAGCAGAGGGAGGTGCCCTCAGCAGAAAGGTCAGAACATCAAAATTTTGAAGTTGGTACTTGAAATTCTTGAGTGTCCTGACAGAAGAACACTCAAGCAACCATCAGCTTTCAATGGTCAGATGTGTTACAAAGGAATCTCTGAACCTGTGAAATGCCAGGCAGCTCTGCCTGTGTGACATTGAGGACTAGATACTCTGTTGGGATTAAGTAAAGACAGGTCTGGTAAGAAAAATTAACTCAATTACTGGGATCRGGTGATTTTAAATCACTGTTAGCCAGTAATCCTAAAGCTTAGCTAAAAGCTCACAGGAGAAGACMACCAACTCAAAGGTGCTAGTGTTTTCTGTGAAAATAAAGTCYAATTGAAAAGGCAGTGAACTGTCTCACACTGCAGATATGCAGATCCAGCCTTTCCTAAAAAGGATAAATGCTGCAAAGGTGTTCATGTCCTTATGAAATCTTAGCACTGTTCTTTAATCTGTTCTTCATAAAGAAGACTAACACAAAATTAAATATCTGCTTTTCTGCTTTCTCTGTCCATTTGGTCACTCAGACATGCACTTCGACTACRAAATAATTTTTTTAATGTTACAGGTAATTTTGGGCTTAAACCCAAAATTTAGCCATCTCTCAGATTTTGTATATTTCAAACTGGAAGCAAATACCAGCATAGATATCTAATAATTACCATTAGAAAAAAACTGGCTTTCAGTCCCTTCTTGGTGCAAACTCATCAGTGTGAGTGATAACAGGAGCAGCCCCATGCCTCATGCCTTAGACTGACATGACAAACAGCTTTCAAAATTTACTGCGTACATTATAGTCATTAACATTCAGATTAGTCATCTTGAACATTTTGTTAAGCAGTTTTCCTTTGCTTCAAATAAAAGGCTTAACTTGCCTTCATTCTATTTTCAGGCCCATCTGAAGTGACAAACTAACCATAACAGAAACTGCCTTAGGATTTTTATGTTATTACTGGAACATCAATGACAAAATACTGTAGAAAAAAAGCATTACTTAATACTCAGAGATGTGTTTTAAACCATCAAGTTTTGAATTGTTTGCTAAATATTACCCATATTATATTTGCAATCACTAGCATCATGCATATCTGACAAGAGATTTAGGCCTTTTATAAAGGAAAAGGTGAGCATAATTTGATCACTTTCTTGCTGTAATTTTCTTTAAAAATGAATCTTATTTAATTGATGTAATACCTAATGATGATAAAAAGATACAGAGATGTGCAGAACTGTATCGTGTTTCTGCTGTGGCTAAATAAGAGGATCGTAATGAGAAAATGTGACAAGGATGTCTCGATAGTTACACCTGTAAGCCAGTGTTTTAAAACTGATAGTTTATGGTACTGAAATACCCATGGAACYTTTTACCCCTCATATTAACAAGAYAAAAGATTCCTTTAACTTTTTCTTATTTTCTTCCCCTTTTAACAAAATGACTAATGAGAAACAGCATAGAAACAACAAAAGCAAATGCTATTGAAGAGCTTCCCGACACAGCTCCAGATTATGAGAAGGTTTTGCAGMCTCTCTGACTACTCTTTCCCAAGGTAAGAAATGCTGCCAGCTCCCTTACTCTGTAGAAGTAAATAAGAAGGATGGGGTTAGGGGGATCTCTTTGAAGTGATGCTGGAGTGACCATATGTTCATGCATTTTTTTTTCTTATTTACTCATTTTCACGTAGGACTCAAAAGGCAAGGAAGGAAAAATGCAATGGCTGGTACCCATTTCATCTGGTTGAYGGAGGGTTCTCCCCCGAGAAGCAAATCTCAAATTGCAAAGAGGTGAAGAAACGGTCTGACTGCATTGGGTAAGATGAATTTCTTGAATTTACACTTGACTAAATAAAGAGATGCCACTTTCCCTGTCAGCAGATTTAGCCAGGTACCATGGGAGAGGACTGCAAGACTTCATTTCACACAGGATGCCTTACAGAACAACTATAAGCATGGGGCATATGAGGCAAGTATTTGGTATCATCCCACCATTCCTTCATGGGGTCTACAGAGTATGCACCCCACAGAGGGAATGTGACAGTTACAGTTAAATTAACAGCTCTTCACCCAYGTCTCTTTCATTGTTAAATGCCATGGGTAATTGTCGGAGACTGGGGCATTTCAGTGTCTAGAGGTTTTAGTGGTTGTTGGTGGTAGGAAGAGGGGAAGGMACATAATTTCCTCCAAGTCCACAAAAGAAATGAAAAGTTCATCTAGGTTCTTTGAGTAAATTATAAAGCACCATTCATACTTCTAATGCATTTTCTGAAGATGGTGAATATTAAAATAAAAAGATAAAAAAAGTTTCAGTTTTACAGACTGTAACTGTGGTGTGAAYCATTGCAGATCCAGTGACTGGAGTAATGACAACATATACAATGATCTGGTAYTAACAGAATCAAAGCTAAGCAGGACTGTCACACTGAGCAGCTGTACCAGTTCTCAGTCTTTCACAATTAGGCACATACCCAGAGTTGTGCTGGAACAGTCAATATCCGATATACAGCACAAGCCAAATTTAGTACAATTGTCATCTTGAGCTTATAAATACTTTCAAAGCCTTCACACCTTTTGAAACATTTTTTTGCTATAATTTCTGTATTAAAAAGAGATTTCTAGGTTACATAAGAGATGAATCCAAAGAACCTGGTTTTTAAGAGGTATTGTTAAGCAGGAGTGCATAGAATCAGGAAAAGTTAGTAAGGGTCATTTGCAGTTTAAGCAAACTGCAGCCTACAAGTGATTAGTGTCTGTCTCTATGCTGACATTCTGCAGGCATGGCTACAATCACAGCCCAGTTGGGCATCAAATTCTCMTGGACAGGACCTGACTGTCACATATGCGTGTCAAATTAATCTTTAATTTGTTTTACCCAGTCATTTAGAAGCATGACTATTTTATTGATCTAAATTAGAGGATGTAAACTTCTCAGCAACCTCGGTCAATAACTTTGGATGCCCCACAGAACTCCTCATTTTCTGTAAACAACCTGATTTATTCTTTTTWAATTCTGCTTTAAAACTCAGGAGACAGTACCTGTCTTTCGGCCCATGAAGGCGGCAGCACCCGTGGGAGCAAAGCGCAATCTGGGGATGTTCCTGAGCCGCCACTTTCCCGGCGCGGAGGTAACGCGCCCTTTGGTCCGTCCGTTCAGCACCACCCGCCGCGGACAGGAGCGTGCCCGGCCCCGTGTTCCCTTCTCTCCCGGCTGAGCAGGGGGACAACGCGCTGTGTTTAACCCTGTCTCACCCCTCGTGGGGCGGTTCTGTCCTGGTCCCCAGCCCCCGGGAGGGTCCCCCGGCAGAACCGCGCCCGGCACTCACCTGCACCCGGGCTTCGGTCAGGTCCAGGCGCAGGGCCAGCTCCTCTCTGCGGGGACACACGGTTAGAGCCGSAGCCTGCCCGCCGCCCCGGCGGCCCCGCCCGCCCCTCCCGCCGCTACCTGGTGAACACGTCGGGGTAGTGCGACTTGCGGAAAGCGCGCTCCAGCTCCTCCAGCTGGAAGGTGCTGAACGTGGTGCGGTACCGCCGCTGYTTTCTCTTGACGGGGCCCGGCGCTTCGGAGCCGGGCTGGCGCTCCCCCCGCGCCTCCGCCGGCGGCTCCTCCGCGGGGCTGCGCGCTCGGCCGGGCCGCGGCGGCGCCGCTCGTTCCGCGCCTGCGGGAGAGAACCGCGGAATTACCGGGGCGGACGGGCGGGGAGAGACCCGCGGGGTTACCGGGACGGACGGGCGGGGAGAGACCCGCGGGGTTACCGGGGCGGACGGGCCGGGAGAGACCCGCGGCACCTCACCGAGCCGCCCCTCACCGTGCCGGCCCGCGGCGGGGCCCCGGCCCAGGATGCTGTCGATGAAGTAGGAGGTGAGGAGGTGCAGGGCCGGCGGGGCGGAGGGGGCCGCGCTCTGCATGGCTGCGGGCAGGGCCCCGCTCCGCGCCGCGTTTTATGGGCGCGGGCAGCGCCGGCTCCGCGCCCCGGCATTAGCATTTCATTAGTGCGTGGCGTCAAGGCCGGGGGTGGGACGCGCCGGGCCCCGCTCGCCGCCTCCCCCGGGCGGGCACCGAGAGCCGCCCCGTCGGGGCTGCCCCACGGCTGTTCCCCCTGCTCCCGCGGCACGGCCGTAACTTTTCAAAGCCTCGTTCGAGGGCGCGGAGCGGCTGCGGTGAAGTTGTGCCGGTGGCCGCGGGAGAGCCGTGCCCGGCTCCTCCAGAGCTGCGGCTGGGAACGGACCCAGGGCTCACAGCCCCCGGCTGACACCCGAGTGTCACCGGGGTTTACCTTTGTTGCTTCTGATTAACTTAAACTTGTTGAATTCAGCGTTTTAAGGCTGAYCTTGCAAAGTACCGTGTGCCGGCAGGTGAAGGGAAAGTGCACAAACCCGTGTAAGATTGAATCCTTTTTCCTGGACTCTCTAAGACTGAGTCCTTTTTCCTGGACATCTCTAAGATTGAGTCCTTTTTCCTGGAGATCTCTAATTCCACTCTGCTAGAGTTCTGCTGTCGGTGTTATTACAGCAATGGTTCCTCAACAGGAGGTCTGGAAACTATTTCCTGCACGGGGAGACTTCCAGCAGTTCTGTGATCTTACTGTGGTGTACTGATAGACTGACATGAATTAGATGACAAAATGGCTTGATCCTGAGGTCTTGATTTGGGGGCATGAGAATTTAATAGTACTTCCTAGAGAGTCTTACAGAGAGTACAGCACGAAAGGGCTGAAAACCCCCAAACCCCAAAACTAGTGGCTGAAAGCTGAAGCCAGGCAAATTTAAATTACAAATGAGGCATTTGCAATTAGAATTCTGTGTTTMTATCTAACTTTTGAAATAACGAAAGTGGTGGAGTTCTGTGTTCTCTGTCTTCATATCAAGGCTGGATTAGTTTACATTCTAACTGAAGACACAGAGACTGTTGGTGCAGAAATGCTCCCTTGACTCTGTGACCTGTCAAAAATTTTTTGATTACTCCCAGCATTGCAGTCCACAAGGAAGTTTTTTTCTTTTTGTCCTTCTTTCCTCTCCTCTCACCACACTGGGGCTGTGTGAGTGCTTTAGTGTTTCTATCTTTGTGCAGAGCTCCTTGCTGTCTCACTGCTCTGCTGCAGGGCTCCTCATTGACTCAGACCTCAACTTCATTCCTTTAACTACAGAAATTTGGTTTGGCCTGAAGCAAATACCTTTGTGAACCTATTCCTGTGGCACTCTTCATGAGAAGGTTTGGGATAGCACTTCGTTATGCTCACTCTTGAAAAAGTAAGGTGCCTGTGTAAGAGATGACTATGGGTAGCATTTACAGAAAGTGCTTTCTTTACGTGGCATGTTCTTGACGTTTCCCAGTTTATTGCCCTATTCAGATCCTAATCCTAAGTTACAAACCTCAGACAGCCTGTGTTCAAAGACTACCTCAGACTACTTGTGTTCAAAGGCTTAGGGATTAATTTATGGTAGGAAGAACAGTGATTCTATGCATCCTATGGGCCAAATGTCTAATTTGGTTTCTTTCAATTCCAGGAAACAAGATTCGAATGATCTAATTTCCTCTGACTACAAGAAGCAGACAGAACTTCATCAAGGAATCTCCTGGATGTGAAAAACCCAGTGATGTGCTTGTTTTACTGTTGCACATGTGTGACAGTTGCACATGTGTCTATGCTCAAAGAGAAGCCTCTGCATGTTGGAGAGCATGCCCAGGAATGCCAGTGAGATCTCCCAGAGACAGAAGTGACTATGTTTTGTACTTCTGTGTTCCAAACAAACCAAACCCAGGAACAACCTGGACAGCAGATAAAGATCCCTGCAGCCCAGGGAGAGCCCCACGCTGGAGCAGGTGGATGTACCAAAGGAGGTTGGGACCCTGTGGGAAGCCCGTGCAGGAGCAAGTTTGCTGACAGAACTTGTGAGCCCGTGGGTGACCCACATAGGAACAGCCTTTCTTGAAGGACTGCACCCTGTGAAGGAAGGGACTATGTTGGAGCAGAGCCAGGACAGCTGACCCCAACTGACCAGAGGGATATCCCAGACCATATGATGGCTGCTCAGCAATAAAGGCTAAGGGAAGGGGGTGCGGGGCATTTATTATTATGACATTTATCTTCTAAAGCAGCTGCTACATGTGCTGAAGCCCTACTTCCCCAAAAGTAGCCTGACATCATCTACTAATGGGAAATTGAGAATACATCTTTTATCTTCCTTTGCTTTTGTGGCTGACCTTTGCTTTTGCATTATTGAATTGTTATATCTTAATCCATGATTTTTTTTCTATCCTGTTTTCTGCCCTCCCTGTCAAAGAGGGGAGACAGCAGCTTGGTGGGCACCTTGTGTTCAGCTAAAGTCAACCCACCACACATCTGTATTTTTTGGATGTCCTTGGGCAAGCCCTACTTACACTGCTGACTGATGCTTGAGTTGTTATTTTGGATTTGTATTGTGTCTTGTCATGAGCTGAGCAACCTGTGTCATAGTTGCTGCTAATGCCATTGAAAAATGCCATGTAAGAGTATGATTTAAATACATTTTCATTACTTCTTGTTTGACCAACATTGATGCTGCTGCTTTCTTGGTTTTCTTTGGCTCCCATAGTAAGTAAAATGTGACAGATGAGTAAAGTTCACCTTGTCCATGAAGTATTTGAAAGAGGAAAGGAAGCATATGTGTATGTTTGTGCATGACAGCAGAGTTGCAACTGCKTGATGAGGACTGGTGGTTCCTGTGCTTGAAATGCCTCTTGGCATGTTGATAATGTATTTCAGTATTCTTTATACTGCCTTAAACACATAAATATATGTYAATTAAGTTTAATATTTAGGCTTAGAAAACAAAGCCTGTCTATATCTACATTGAAAGAAAATTCTGAGGTAAAATATGTGATGAGGTTAACAGGAAAAATTTCTTGAAGAGTGTCCAAGGAGTTAGTTTGACAGCTCAGCATGGATCTTTATTGGCTTGAAGATGGAAAATAGCTGCTAGCTAGAGATTTAAATGCCAAACTTGGGAAAAGCAGAAGTGATTCTGGTGAGAGCTCTCTGTTGACTTTGGCTGATGTTCTAGGAACCAGATGAAAAGTACTGAACACCTTTAATACCACTGTATGTCTTCAGATTGCTTCTTATTAACACAACTGRTTTCTCATTCTATTTCTGTTTTACACAGAGGCATGAAGATCTGGGTGAACTTGAAGATCAGCACCTCTCTTTCTTTTTATGGGATTAGATCGAGGTCATGGCAATATGTGTGGCAATTCAGTAAATACTGGGAAACTGCAAGACTGAATGTTGTGGGACAGCCTTRGGTTCTCTCAAGCCAATTGATACTTATTATACAGCTGCACCTGAAYGCAGTAACTCTTTTGTAATGGAATCTCAGTAAGCTGGTTTCCCATTTCAGTTAATAACTTGTGAAAATAATGTAAGTGCTTTTTGCTGATTAGGCATACGTGACTGCTTGGGAAAAAAATATGTGTGCAATATGTGGCAATTCAGCTCCCCTTTTCTGTGCTGCATATTCAAGAGCACAATAAAATGTTGGTTGGAAGACAAATAAGAATTGGAGTGTTGCTGACTAACTTTGGAGAAGGCATCATGTTGAGATGGCAGACTGCTGTCACTGTGCTCATTCTGACCAACCCACCCTCTGCACACCTTTGATTTTACACAGGCAAATAAAGTGAGAGCCTCAGCCTTCCCTTTGTGCATTTGGTTCTTGAAGGAGATTGTTCATGAAGGACTGGCATGGAAGAGATTGTAAGATGTTCTTGTTGAAATGACATGAAAGTATTGTGAGATACCTGGAATGACCTAAGCATACTGCACTGAGTGGTCTCTCAGCAGCTGCTGTAATGCACTGTTTGTCAAACCCTTTAGATGAAGAGTGAAGGGCTCTTTGCTGCACAGGTACCTCTGGCAGTGCTGTTCTGATAATGTAACATTTACTGGATCTGATAATGACACCCCTTTTGGGGTCACAATTAAATGAGGCTCTCATTTCTTCTAAAATGTAAAAATTATATGTTTTAACTTCTCAACATTTCTAGACTTGGCATTTAATGGAGAAAAACTTAACTGGTAGAATCTACGGTCTCATGAGTCCAAGAATAAATAAAACCAACTCAATACTAGTTTATTTTTTTCTTAGAAAGTGCTAGATAATAGATTAACAAATCAGTTTGTATTTCTGGTTAAGGGTTCATATTTTACTCTTTCTGAGTGGTATCAGTCCTCTATGATGTTTGCACATTCCTAGAGTGCAAATTACTTTTTTTTTTTTTTTTCCCCAAAATACTTTGTATAAAGGCTGACTGTGAATGATGGACTAGACTTGGAAGACTATATTCCTTGTTCCTTTGCTGGTCCATGAGGACAAATCATCATTTCCACAAGCCTTATTTATTCGTATGTGAAACTGAAATGGTCACACAGTCTTTGCCAATAAATTATGTCTGGGAAAGCTGAGCGTGTTTAAAATAATTCACAGCTGAATTTTACAATTGTAAAATGTGTTGTACCCATAAAATATACACTACATACTTTCCCTTTTTAACCCTTAAATACAAGCTGGTGTTAGCTTCAAAATGACCTCTGGATTAAAATGACCTTTCTGATTACTTTTTTCTGTATAGCCATGATTATTTTAGAAACAAATCTTTACCCCAACTGCAGTAAGTAATTGCTCTTTCATCCTATTTCTTTAWAACAATTTTGCTGCTGCCATCATGGGGGTCTGAGGCATGGAGAGGTGGAATGGTRYAGGAAATGGGAGCTATTCTCTGTATTTAACGTGGTTGCCCGTGTTCAACCTTATTGWCTGAACAATCAGGACTTTAGAGATCCTCTCCTTCCAACTTCCCTGCTGTGGGCAGGAACACCTTTCACTAGACCAGGTTCCTCATACCTGGCCTTGAACATTTCCAGAGATGG